GAGGGTTCTTCTCTCTAGGTGTGCCAAGTTGATAACCAAAATTAGCCAGCACAAGTAGCACCCCCTCCCCTACAACTTGGGCTGCTAACCAGACTTAGCATAAGGAGTTACCATATAAAGTCTTCAATATGAGGGGTGCAGGGGGTTGGAAAAGAGGGGGGCATTCCTATTGCCCCTTCCTTTTTCAGCTTATAACATGGGAGCGAATATCGCATGCATGCACGCAAGCACATAATACTCAGTGAATGTGCCCAAGACCCTGAGTTTCCCCTTCTGTGCTCCACATGGCTAATAGGTAGGCAGGCAGAATTCCTGTGAGCAATTCTCACCTGGCAAGCCCATCTGCTACCCACTCCCTGTCAGTCAAGAAGTCACAAATTAGAACCCTATGGGATCCCTAAAATGTGCCATTGGGGTTGAGGAGTGAGGGGGAGGGTATGGAGACACTGGTCACCTCATACTGAGATGATATGCATGAGACTAGGCCTCTTGTGAAAATCAGACCAGTTAAGACTTCTAGTTGACTTCAAAGAAGTTTTGGAAAGCCAAAAAAAAAAAAAAAAAAAAAAAAAAAAAAAAGTCAGGAAAGAAACACCAAAATATGAAATGAGCCATAGCCAGAAACTCGACTCCAGGGACCCAAGGCATCTTTATAGCCAAAGGAAACAGCAAAGGATAGGCAATCAACAGCTAATTTCAACTATGCTGGCTCCATGCGCAAGCAAGCTCTTGGTGTCTCCAGGAGTTTAGAAGGAACTGTGAAGTCCTGCCTTCCCCTTCCAGGTTTAGGCAAAGACACAGCCCTTCAGTCCATTGCAGAGACAAGAGGGGTCTCAAAGATGCTGTCACATGCCTACATTCCACCCTGGCTGCCACTGGGAAATCCTCGCTTTTGAAGTCCCCCCCCCACTGCACTGTACCCCAGAAACTGAGAGCAAAGGGCAGATTGAACGGAGAGGCGGGTGCCAAAGCACAGATGTTATTTCACACAACAACAGTGTCTAGTGTCTCCATGGATTCCTCACACACAGCACTCCTAAGGTAGGGCAAACTTTATTAGAGTCTTCAGGGTTTTGTAGAGAGGGGATGCCGAGACCTAGAAAACTGCCTGGAGAAGGAAACACAACTTATGTGTAGTTATGAAAATTTACAAAGATGGAGACTGATCCTTCCCATGTTCCCATTTTAACAACCGCAGCAGACAGGGACTGCCCCCGCCCTCTCCCCAGCACCAAAGAAAGATACTTTCTGTATCCCCAATTGCCAGTGAGGGTTGGGGAGAGGGCTCAGTCTGGAAAATGTTCTCCCTGCACAAACATGAACACTTGAGTTCAGATCCCCACCATACATGAACAAAATCTGGGCTCAGCAGCATGGGCCTATAATCCTAGCACTGGGAGGCAGAGACAAGAGGGTACTTGGAGCTCACTGGCTAAGCCAGTCTAGCCAATCAGGAAGCAACAGGAAGCACCCTGTCTCAAGAAATGAGTGGAAATTGACTGAGGCAGACCCCCAATGCTGACTCCTGGCATCCACAGGCACACACCCCAAGTAAACAATGAACTCAAGGCAGTGAGCATCCATCCTGCCGGATGTAAGCATTTTATGGTCTATACTGTTAACACCTATTTAAATTGGGTGTAATGGCTCTTAATTGTTTTATTCTATGCACAGCAAAGCAGCCAATTGAATCTAATATTAGTCATTCATCAGATAAAACATTTTCAGAGAAGCAAACTGCTATATTTTGCCTTCAAAGAACAGCAAGCATTTTAAATACACGTTTCCAGAGCTGCTACTGTGAGGAAAACAGTTTAGAAATGCTCCTTCAGAAAATCCCCTTCCACAACAAGACAAATTGAAACAAATGCTTAGCTCTGTATTTTTTTTTTTTAAACCAAGCTTCTTTCTGTCCACCTGTCAAAAGCAGTTGTGACCCCATCAACCTAAGAGGTGGCCTCTGGGGCTGTGAAATGTGCCACCCGGCACGGATGCCCTTGGTGAGGTCCTCCTTAGGATTATCCAACTCACTTGCAACAGGAGAGAGGCGATGGGCCTGCTGCCAAGAGCTCTTTCAACAGAAATTCCGAAAGAAGATCCTGCGAAGTGCCGAGAGCCCAGATTTCCAGCAGTTCACTGTCTAGATTCTGTTACATAGCAACCATGTCCGCTCACACAGGGTACCCAAGTGAGTTAATATTTTGTTTAAACGACACGCTGCCTGAACCCTCAGGAAAACCCGAGTTTGCTCCATCAGAAGCGTCAACCTAGTGGTCTTGCCTGCAACAAGAGTACCCAACAACGGAGGGGTACACGTCCTCTATTCATTTCCAAAAAGAATTTTTAAAAAACTGAAAACGGATCTCACAGTCTCTTGGTGGGAGGTGAGGGTGTAAAAGGTGCCATTTCCCCCCTGTAATCATTTGTGCTAATATTGTTAATGGGCATATTAGCAAGCTCTTAATGTGTACATAATGCACTTTAGCTCAAAGTGACTTAGCACTGTTGTATTTTGAAAGATGTTCATTTCATGCAAAACCTCGAAGTTAGAAGTGACAACTTAACCCACAAGGCATTTCTTAGGGTCTGGTCCCACTGAGCAGCTCCAGTGTAGGCAAAATGAAAACACATGGTTACTCTAACCTGGAAGAACAGAAAGCTCAAGGGGCCCAGTTTCCCTGTACCACCCTTTAAGAACATGATAGAAGCTGTGGTAAAAGAGGTGACCAGGCCAGCTCTGCTGAGGGCTTCTAGCAAAACAGTGTCAGAGTCCCCAAGGGGTGGGCACCAAACAATACAAATGAAAGCAAAAACTCACAAAGACTAAATGACAGACACACACAGACACATACATATATGTATATAGCATTTGTGTACACATGCATCGCAGGTTTGAGTGATGTTACTATGGATAAGTAAATGCCTGGTGGTCTGATACAGTAGCCTCATTTTCCTTCACCCACGTAAAGTCATACTAAGTTAAATGGACATGTGACCCACCAATGAGTTCAGTTACAAATCGGTAACACTTTCTGATTATACAATCACCAAGGGCCCATTGCACAGGTTCTGAAAACCGTCAGCAGTGCTGATGGAAACAAGACCCTGCTCCTCTGCCCTGTCACCTCCCCACTGTCAGTCATGGGCAGGTGCAAAGGTTCCCATGGGCACGAGGGAGCTACTGGTGGTGTGTGCTTTTAAAGACACTATGTCTGCAGCCTTGTGCATCTTAGCAGAAAAAAAATCAAACAACAAAAAAGGAAAACGGAAAAGGAAACACCCCCTGCTGTGCCTCTACAACCATTTACTCATCATGATGCCAGTCTTAGTCTTTGGATTTTCTAGTGAAGTGCACCAGCAGGGCACTCTGGATTCCTTAGCATGCCCAGTCCACAGCGCAGCAGCCAGCACTCAGATGAAAGCCACTTAACTTTCCCTTGTCCAGGAAGTGGTGGGTGGTGGGAATATCCCAGCATCATTTGGTGTCCCTTCCCTGCAATATGCCAGCTCTTAGCTAGTTCTGGAATGTTACAACAGTCGCTGCTTACAAAAATCAAAGCATTATCCCGCAGTCTACCTTTGCCTTCTCTCACCTATGGTTCATCACTCTACGACATAACCCGGGATTGACAAGATCAACCAGATGCCAACCTTGGAAACCCTGTAGCAATCACCAGGGCCACACCACCGTCTCACCATTACATCATGGCCAAATTACATCCACGATGCCTAAAGACACCCAACAGGCTCTGGAAGTACCAAGTTAGGGTCTGACTTACACAAAACTGCAGATCTTGAAGCCGGAAATCTCACCTCTCACGGGGCAAAGGCATGCATACCTTCCGGTGAAGGTAAAGCCAAAACAGACGGATGGAGCAAGTGAAGGCATCCCCATAAAAACAGTCTCTCTGAACACTCAGGAGGAGCTATTATTGAGAGCGCAGAACCAACAAAACCATTCTGAACCATTGAGCATTGATTGGTCCAAGTGACATATTTATTATACAAGTGGCCCTCTTGGACTGAAGCCCCCCCCCTTTTCTTCTCCCCATCCGTTTGGATTTTAGCAGTTTAGGTTATAATTCAAATGTTTTAAATAAGCAGCCCTATTACTTCTTAAAGGATGAGGGATGGTGAGGGGTCAGATCGCAAAAAGCTTTTGCCTTCCAACTCTCAGAAAACACCACACATGGCAGGGCCACCTTACTTCACACCTTTAACCCTTGCCGGGGGTTCAGGAGTGTCATCTCTCAATGTCAGCACTGGCCAGATGTCTTTTCTTCGCCTTTCCTCTAAACTGCACAGGGTCCTTCAAACAAGGGCTCCTAGCAACCCACCATTCAAGCCTCCATTCCTCCAGACAGCCATCAATCAATCTTTGAGATCTGTGATTTCCTCCTGGGAAGCCCTCTTCCCTGTATAGTTGCTGGAAATACAAAACTCCCTGCAGACCCAAGCATCCACAGGACTGCCCACACCATCTCAAGCTTGGAGAAAATAAACTCCAGATGCAACCCAGCCAAAGGGCTTGGCGTTCGTGGAGAAAAGTGCACGCAAGTCCACTCCCCCGGGGCAGCAGAGCCCAAAGATTCCCGGGGGAATCATTTCAGAGGCCTTTGGAACTGGAGGGGTGAGGGTAGACTGTGGGGCGAGGGCATGAAAAGTTTGCCGCGGAGCTGGGGTCTGTGTGCTCTCCAAAGGGCACTTTCCACTGCTGCCTGAAAAGGACCGGCCAGCGGCGCCTAGCTCTAGCCGGCAGGGGCCGGTGTGACCGTGTGACCCCCGTGCACACTGCACCCGGGTTGGCGTTAATGACAACCGCGTTGCAACTCCCAAGCTGGGAAGCAGCGTGTGGACACGGCTAGGCGAAGAGGGTTACGAGCCACAATGCAAAGCCATCGAGCTGCGAGCGTGGGGGGGTGGGGTTACCGCGGGCCGGGCCACCACTGGGACCGGTGAGCGCGCTAAGGGTCCCCGCCCCGGCGCCGGGCGCTCCCTACCTTGCGCGCTGTGCTGATGGTTCTCCATGGTCGCCGCCGCCGAGTCAGCCACCGTCACCGCTGATGCCGAGGCGCTGGTCGCAGCTCCAGGGCCCGAGCCGGGGCCGCCGCCTCCGCCGCTCAGTTCCGTCAGTCTCCGGTTGGTGGCCGTGAGCTCGGCTCGCAGGTTGGTCACCTCCTGGCTGGCCGACTGGACCGCCCCATCGATGCGGAGCGCGAGCTGCTTATTGTCTTCCATCATGCTCAGGATTTTGGCCTGGGGGCGAGAGAGGTGACAAAGAGCTGCATGATGTGCGCGGGGGGCGCGTGGCCGGCCGTGGTCCCGGCTCTACCTGTTGGGTCACCCTAGCGGCCCGGGTTCCCCCGCGCCACGACCCCCGGGCACCGGCAAGCGCCGGCTCCTCCGGCGCAGGAATGACAGCGGCGCCTCCAGCCCGAGCCGCGGCGGTGGCGAGGCGGCGGGGGGAGGAGGAGAAAGAGGAGGAGGAAAGGAGGAGGAGGAGCAGCCGCGAACGGCGAGACCCCGGCGGGCGGACTAGCTGCGAGCAGAGGACACCGTGCGCGCCGCCCGGGCCAGGCACTCTCCGAGTGGAGCCTACCATTCGCGGCTCGCTCGGGAGGGGGCCCTGCCGGGGACCTCGGGGACCTCCTCGGCCTTATGAGCCCCCCACCTCCGGGACACACCCCCGGAGAGTGGGGGAGGAGGGCGGCGCCCGTGTGTGGTCGGAGGTGACACCCCCAAGCAAAAGGTTAGGGGTGCCTCTGAGACTCCAGCTGTCCCACTGTCCCCTCCTTGCGGCGGTGGACAGCCCCGCCCCGGCCAACTACTGCCCCGCTTCGGGCTGGGGTCGCCGCGGAGGAGGCGGTGGATGCTTAGCAGAGAGAGGTGCTTGCAAAGGGGCCCCTTGGAGGGGAGCGTGGGATGGAGGGCCGAGGGAGGGGGCTGCTGGAGTGAGGTCAGGAGTAGAGTTCTCGCTTTGCCAGTTGCAGGGATGAAATGCCCAGCGGGCTGGAGAGCTGGTGGATAGTAAGCCAGCCACCTTCCACTCCCATCTCAGTGCCTGACCTGCGCTGTCCTTGCCCAGCCTGGACCAGTGGCGCTGAGGCCTTCCCGCAGTGTGCATACCCTGGATGGAGGGCCAGCTTCAACCTGGTCCTAAGCTGCTTGGCCGGCCTGAACATTAGTGGAAGTAGGGAGCTGAAGCCAGAGGAGGGTTGAGAGGTGTGGCGGCGGGGGGTGGGGTGTCGAGTGGGGGTGGGAGGATTTCTTTTTCTCTTCTCCTTCCGAGGTAGGAATGTTGAACCCGGCTGCCTCGGTTTACCTTACTCCCCCTTCTGAGAAGAATCGAGGTAACCTTAGCTTGGATAAACCTTCCTGGCTCCTTTCTCTCCCACAGCACACACAGGCTTTGCATTTTTCAGTGGGGCCCTGGATTCCAGCCACCAGACCTTGTTACCATAGCAAGCTTCATTCCATGCAAATAGGAGGTTTTCAAAGAGCCAAGTGTAGCCCCGCCAACAGTGTGCCACCATTCCAGCCCCGTCAACCTGGGGGCAGGGGCTCAGACAGAACTGCAGAAGCCAAGGGGGTGCTCTAGATGAGATACTCATCCTCCAGGTTCAAGAGTATTTCTTGGAAGTTCATAAGAACCAAGCAGGACATGCATGCATGAAGCATTTGAGTGTGGTTGACTCAGTAGGGTAAAGAGTACTAGCCCTGTTTTAGGAGGAAACTGAGGATCTGGGCAGGGTTTTGCAATTACTGGTCCCTCCAAACCAGATGGTGAGAGGTTGGGAGTAGGTAATCCTATGATGCCAGTTAATCCCACATGCTTTCAGTAAACTTTTCCTTTTGCTGGGGGACAGAGGGTCTCTCTAACTCACTATATAATGGAGAATGACCTTGAATTTTTGATCCTCCTGTCTCTGCTATTGGATTGCTGGTGTTACAGGCCAGTGCTGAGCTTAACAGGCATGTCACATTACACCTAGTTTATTCAGAGTTGGGATCAAACTCAGGGTGTGGCTCATGCTAGAGAAAACTCTATCGACTGACTGAGTTACAGCCACATTGCCTTCTTTTATGCAGACAGACCCTTAAAAGCCCTGCCCCTCTCCCGGTGCCTTTGCAAGGGGTAAGGGCAATCATAGATGGCAGAGTACAGGGCCCAGGGCATAGTTTTTCCCTATCCACTTGGCTTCAGTGTAGGGATTGCACCTCTGACATTAGTATTCTTAGGTCAGCTTTGACCAAGTAGGTAACAGAGATCTTCAGAGAGGCTGGGTGTGTTTAACACCCAGGGCCAGTTCTTGGAAGCCTTTGGGAAGAAACTAGGAGGTGTCTAACCACGAGGCTCTATGGAGCTACTAAAGGATGATGTCACTGGGGAACCCAGTCTGGCAATACTTTAAAACATTAAAGGTGGTGTAATGCCCTTTAACACCAGAACTCAGGAGGTAGAGGCCCTTCTGTTCCTTACAGGGAGCTCTAGGCCAGCCAGAGCTGCATAGTAAGATGATGCCTCAAAACAAACAAATTAATTAATATCTAATTAAAGAAAAAGAAAAGTTAACTGTGGAATCAAGTCATAACTCAGCACATCCATTTTAAACAACTCAGAGAGCCAAAGAAAAACTCCAGGAATGGCGGGAATGGTGTCAGTGTTCATAGTAGCACCGTCTGCCATAGTAAGAAGGTAGAAAGAACTCAGCTGCCCAGCAAGGGATGAGAAAACAGTGCTAGCCACCCATATGGTGGGATATCATTCAGCCATAGAAAGGAGTGAAGGACAGACGTGACATTCCTTATAACCATGAAACTCCAAAACACTGTGCCAGACACAAAAGGGCATGCAATGCGTGACCCTGTTCACGTGAAAATCCAGGAGAGGTGAATCCAGGGCGTCAGAAGGCAGACAGGTGGCTGAGAGAGCAGAGCCCAAGGAAGTGCTTACTGGGTTATTTTGGGAGTTATGTAGGGTATGCTGGGGTTGGTGAAGATGTCTCAGAACTAGACAGTGGCTGTGTTTGCACAGAGTTGTAAACAGATGTAAATGTCATCAAGTTGCTTGCAAAAGAGCGGTGGGTATCATCTTATATAAAATTTGAGGGCATAAAATAAAAGGTACATATGGGTGGTAGCATTGTCCCAGGAGTAAACGCAGCCAGAAAACAAGAGGCTGTATGCAAAAGGTGTGTGTGTGTTCACACCCTTTATGACACTCACCACAAGGAAAGGGATGTGTCTATTTGCATGTTCACCCAGCTTCACCTAGCCCATAGCAAGTGCTCCATCCTCCACTGTGTCTGAGAGTGTTTGTGCAGTAAACAAACTGAGGAAGTGTTACTCATTTTCCCTCCCTGGAGAGACTGTCCCACACACTGGCATCTTCACATCCAATCGAACAAAACAAACATCTATGAAGAGAGAAGCAAGGATGTATTTTCGGATTTCTTTTTTTCTCGTGTGTGTGTGTGGGGGGGGTATGTTTAAATATCGACTGTGTGCACATGTATGTGGAGGCCAGAAGTCAATATTTATGTCTTCCTCTCACTCTCCATCTTATTTATTTATTTATTTAGACAGGACCTCTCACTGAACCTGAAGCTCCAGGAATTTGCCTGTCTCTGCCCCCCCCCCAGTGCTGGGGTTATAGGCATGTCCCATATTTTATGTGAGCCTTGGGGTTCAGAACTCTAGGTCCTCATGCTTGTTGGACAAGCACCTTACTGACGGAGCTGTCTCTGAAGCCCTCATGAGTCTCTTCATATTGCTTTCTCTGTGGTTTCGTGAACCTTGACTTAGAAACGGAGGGAATGCTTCCAGAGTTTTTAAAGAATTTCAGTGTTTTGTTTAATGTGTTTCTACAGGCAAGATACAGGGGGCTTTTTGCATGTGGGACACACTGTTCACTTGCACGCAAAAGTATCCATTCTCTGGCAGAAAGCTTGGGATGTACCTCGTCTCCACCAAAAGATCTACTTTGACTTCCTGGATTCTAGCCTAGCACCCTGCTCCTCCCTGGATGACCTTAAGTAACAAAACAGCTGCAGAAGCAGTGTCTTCTCATGGTGGCTCAGAGAGAGGAAATTCCTAGCAAGAACCTATGCTCAGTGGGCTCGGGAGGTGGTCAAGTTGTTAAAGTACTTGTTGAGCAAACAAGAGGACCAGAGTTGAGAGTTTGGGTCCCCAGACTCCTTGCACATGTCACATGAGTGTGTCAGCCTGCCTGTAATTCCAGACTCAGGAGTCAGAAGACAGGACATCCCCAGAGCAAGCTGGGTAGTGGGACCAGTCTTATCAATGAGCTCTGAGTTTGGAGAGGACCTCCTCAATGAATGAGGTGGGAGAGGTATGCAGGATGCTTGTTGGCATCAACTTTGGGCCTCTGTACACATGTGCATGCACATACTTATGCAAACATGCATACACACAGGTATGCATCCCATTATATACAGGGAAGAAAGGAGAGGAGAGGAAAGGAGAGGGGAGGGGAGAAGAGGGGAGAGGGGAGAAGAGGGAAGAGGGGAGGGAAGGGGAGAGGGGAGTATCAAGGCTCAGTGCACATCCATAGCAGATAACCCATCTGCATGACTTTTTCCCCAGAAAGATGGGCCTTGTCACTTAACTCCAAACTGGACCCTATAAAGGGAAAATTGGATCTCCATCTATGCGGTTGCCCTCATCCATGGAGCAATGAAGATGTTTGGTAGCAGAAGGCAACAGGCCTCATGTCCTCTAGCTTCCTCCTGATGTGCTGACAAATGGAGGCCTAGATGCAGAAACAAGGCCCTGTAGATGCTGAGGAAGGAGCCAGGAGCAATTAACAGCATGCTCTAGCGGGTGACCCATCCTCAGACTGTATCAGGGGGCATGTTCTAAGTGACAGGTGAGGCCACAGCCTAGTGCAGTCAGGCCACTGGCTCCTTACCCCGCAGCCCTCATTATTCCCACCTGGGAGTCTTCCTCTTTTGCTTTCCTCTTTGCCTAGAATATTTGCACTACCTCTGCCCCTGATTCCCTGTCATCTCTCAGCTTTAACACTCCACTCTGACATTTCCTAGCATAGATCATCCAGCGATGGGTGGCCGTTCTGTTTATTTACTTGGTAGCTTGAGCTACTATGCTCTCAGCTGGATTGAGAGGTAAGTCACCATCACATGAATAGAGGTCTTTCTGTCTCTCTGCCTGAGGCCCCCAGGAAGCCCTGCTTCTTCTGTTTTGTGTTGGCATTCCCAGAAATAAGTGTCTCTTTA